TTACAATTTATACGATACTTTCGTAATTGTAAACTGTCAATTGCCGTTATCTTACCTTTTGATAATAGAGATGGACAATTCTTGTGTATGTACAGTTCTGAATTTACATTAATGCACCCTACTGCTACCGTAACATTGACTGTGACTGCAATATGGGCACTTGTTTTAATCCTTTTTTTTTTTGAATAAATAAATGATTGGTTTAATGATTTATTTGTTTATTCTAATTTAACACTAACCTACTGTGTGTTAAGAACCAAAACAAAAAATTTAAATTATGTTGTAATTAAATTTAGCATTGTCGAACTTCTACTTTGGAGTTTGGACTATGGGCTAAGAAATTTGACATTATGTTAAAGTTAAATTTTAGTATTGTCTCATTTTTTAGAAATGGTTGCGATTATCGTACTTTTTGTTATATATTATATTATGAGAACAAATATTCGTTATATATTATAAGAACAAATAAAATCATGATACATATGTACAAAAATTTATGTAAAAAAATTAAACTCAATCATCTGCACACGTTTACATCATAGCATAGAACATGATTCTCTTCAATTACATGGTTAATTATGACAATAATTGAGTTGGAGTGTTGATAGTGATTTTAAATATTATTTACATTAAGTTATAATTATAAAGTTATATCATTCAAGTTAAATATATTATAGTTAAATATGATTTAAATTAAATAATAATTAAAAATTATATTATTTTGATATAATGTCCACTTATCATTTCCACAGATGTAATGTTGGCTTATCGCCCTCTTTTAAAATTTGATTCATATTTTTTACTTTTACGTATTCAAATTGTTCTTCTTTAACATGGATTGTTTGATTTTATTTTTTTTATTTTTTCTTTCCATTGCGGTACAATGTAAAATTATATTGTAGCATAAAATATATGGTGTGCTAATTAATTGAAATGCATTAGTCGCTTCACTTGTATGGATGAGAAAACAAACCTATACATGCGTTGTTTTATCCAATCTTTTTGAAAATCTTGCAGCTCTTTCAAAATCATATTTCTTCCATCAACATAGTTGGTCTTTTTATTCTACATTCTAGAATCTTTCCTAACTCGTTAGATTGAATTCTCTTCTTACACGCACTAATAGTTTCCAACCATATAAGATTTTTTTCCTATTCCTTCAGTTAAATACAAACAGTTAAGACTTATGAGTAATGCTCCCTTACCCACAGTGAACACATTTTAATATGTCCACCGCTTATGTATCATGCACAAATTGGTGATGTATTCTTTTGAACATATAAACATCACCAATGTGTGCATGCATAAGCGGTAAGCATATTAACATGTACCTACCGTGGGTAGGTGAACATTATTGTACGACTTATATAATACTCACGTAATTCTTAATTAAACTAATTTTTTAATCTAAATTGGGCTCGGCTGTGCTGTGCACAGCCGAGAACAAACTAGTGTTATATATAGAAATACACACTGATTCAAACCTGTGCCTGTAAAACCTCAAGATTATAGTATATATATATGGTGGAATTTTAATGCAAATGCGTCTACTTATTCCAAGTAATAAATACATAGTTTCCTTATACCTCTCAATATCACAAAATAAAATTATGAAATAAAAAAATTCCCAAATCTCCAATAACCAATTGAACTTAATTACAATTTCCTTTTTTAAAGAATCAAAAAATTATTTCTAATATAATCACAAGAAAAAAATAATAATAATAAAAAAAAAAACACAAATCTCAGTATCTGTACAAAACCGGGATCCCCGTCACAACCCCGCTGGAGCCCTTCCCGTCAGCCGCCGAAAACTCCATCCACGGCCGCGGACAACTCGCCCCGCAGCCCCTCCCCCCTCCGCCGACCACCCTCACCGACAAATTCACGATCCCGTTCTTCTCACCCCGGCCGTCCCTCAGCCTGTAGCTCAAAAAACTGAGATAATTCTCCGGCAGGTGGCCGCCGTCGAAGTCTGCCACCGGAATATTCGCCACCCCGACCGTTCTCTCTCCGGCGCGGACCTCGGTTGTGATGAACCGGGATTTTGATGGTAGGTCCATGACCAGCCGCTCGTTCCATGCAGGGAACCGGCCCGGGCCGTTCGGGTCGGCCCGACCCGTCTTCCTGGAGTTGAATGGGTCAATGCTTACGGTGACGGAGAGATTCTTCGTGGCGGGCTGTTTTCGGCGGAGGAGGAGATCCTCGGCGGATATGACGGTGATCTCGATCACCTTTGAAGATGGTATTTCCATTTTATTATTTTTATATTTTTGGTTTTCTTGAAAAAATAAATGGGATTGTGCGTGTGTTTTTGTTTGGAGAATATTACGTTGTTTGGAAGTTGAGATTTAAGAATGTTGTGTGTATAATGTATGTATATAAAGGTAGAGAGAGAAAGAAGCGGGAGGAAAGTTGGAAGAAAGGAGAGAGAAAGTGGTGGTGTGGTTCTTATATAGTATTATGGTTTAGTAGTTGTATTTATGAAGAGAAATTTATAGTATTTCATAATCTGACCGTGTTGACCTTCGGAAAAATGGTGGAAAATGGAATTATTGTATATACTATCATGTGCATTTGTACATGATATAAAACACGTTTTTGTTTTTATTTATTAATAGACATGTGCTTCTATCATAAAAAAATTATTATCTTTTCGTAAGTTATTTTTATCATTCAAAATTAATTGACATTTAAATTTTATTTTAACCATGACGTCTACATTAGTAACATGAATAAAATAATTTATATATTTGTGACATATATTAAGAAAATTAACATAATTAAAAAAAAATTATTGGTGTTTCTGATTTTTAGAAAAAAAAAAATGTATCAATCATATTTTTCTTCCAACAGTGCAACCAAATGTAGCGGTAACAACTCTAAATGTGCCAATCAACTTTAAGTTCCACCATTAGCCGTTACATGTTTGAATATTTTGCTACCAAATTTAGAATTAATTTAGTAACTGATCCAAAAAATAATATATATATATATATATATATATATTAAGGTGTAACGATTTAGCAGATTAGTGAGTAATTAATTAAGAAAAATATAACTCCTTTTGGAGGGAAATGAAAATAGATTTTATTAAATATTTTATTAAATGCATCAACTATTAATTTTATATATATATTAGTACAACACCCGTGTATTACACGGGTGCTTGCTAATTTTTTCTTAAATCTAAAACTAATGAGAAAAAGTAATTGAAAATTTAAATACTTTTTATAAAAATATATATATTATTATATATTTAGTATTACATTTTTTATTTGTGCGACTTACTTGTGTTATATTACAATAATTTTTTAACTTACAACATATAACTACATTAAACATAAATATATTAATTGAGAAATAATTTATTTTTCTAATTAATTTTAATAAATATTATTATTTATTATTATTATAAAGATAAATATAATTTATTTATTTCATATGTACAATATGGATGTCAAATCGAAGGTCATCAAAAGATGATTAATTTGATATATTATATATATAAAACCCATAAAAAATACAAAAGTTATCAACTTTTAAAATACATATACAATTAAATAACTGATTGAAGGAAACAAATCAAAAGTCAGTGATATATTAGTCACTTAATGTCTGACTATGTAAAATTACAAAGGATTAAAGGGTTATATTAGTACAAGTGATATTAAAATACCTAATTAGCTATTTAATATTTATGGAATGTCCGAACCTAGATTATTAATTATTAATATATCAATATTTATTTGTCCAAACCTAATTACGAAGCATGATTTTTTGCCAAGTAGGATTTGAAAGCACTAGAAACAGCCATGTAGGTTCTAACGCATAGAGAATAATATATAGGGAGTATATATATATATATATATATATATATATAGAGAGAGAGAGAGAGAGAGAGAGAGAGAGAGAGATTTTGATATTTTTAATGTTATAGTCTTATAGACTTTTATTCATGTCTATTAGACCTTCTTAAATTATATACACATTATAGTAAGTTAAAATTTTAATTTATTATCGGTTTTTATTATAATGCATACACATAATTATACTTTTAAGATTCTTAATTTAACATTAATGTTGTGTGTATATATATACATATAAAATGATTATATGTACTTTCATAAATAAAAAGTATATTAATAATGAATTAATCTAATTAGTACGTATACGATAAAATTAATATTTATCAATTTATCTAGAGGCATAAAATATGATACATATTTAAACATTCACACGAGTCATGAGGTTTACAGCTGGCACTGAGTCCATATAATGTAATTTTGCATTTTATTTTATTTTTTTACAATGAAAGAGGCTAACGCCTCATAAGTTTAAGTCACCCACGTTACGCGAGTATGACACACTGATCACATCATGGTATAGCCATTGTCGAACCCCAACGGGAGACGCGCTAAAATATTGAAAACCCACCAAACCCTCCGTAGCGAAGGAAGCCAAATAGTCAGATGCAAAATTCGCCTCGTGGAACACGTGTTTCACCTTAACTTGCCAAGAACGACTCAAGAGGTCCTTGATTCCCATAGTAAGTCCCGAATGCACTCCCGGTATATCAACTAACGACTCCGAAAACCGCACGACACTCGCATTATCAACCTCCACTTCAATCTGCCGAAAGCCCAAGTCCCAAGCCAAGGAAAGGCCTCGAAAAAAGCCCCATAATTCAGCCGCCATAATTGAACAATAGCCTATGTTCATTGTATAACCCCTTAGCCAGTTTCCATTCTCATCCCTTAGAAGACCACCCGCATAACCCAAGCCCGACACCCCGTTATACAAGCCGTCGGAGTTCAACTTCACCCAGCCCGGTGGAGGCCGCAGCCACCGGATCCAACGAGGAACACGAAGATGGCCCGTCCCTCCGAATTTCTGCGCAGCATCAAGGGATGTAGATAGCCTGTCAATATATAAAGAAATATCCTTCATGCAAGTTACAATGACTATACAAGTCAGGGGTAATGGTACAGTCGCGTTACGGAACCATCCCGTCAGAATTTGTAATCATTAGATCATCATGTAACCATCATGAATAATTGATCAAAGTTACAAACTTCAACGACTATAATCTCCCACAAATTAGAGTATATAAATGTATAAAATTACTAAATGAATGGCGGAGGGTTGACTTGGAAGTTGCTGGGTGAAAAAAAGTCAACTAACTTTCTTCAAAGACTGCGATATCATCACACTGCACACGTCATGTTTAATGGTAAGCAGCATGTTTATGTAGCACAACATTGAACCTTCAAGTAATTTTCAATGAATTTTCGATCAGTCAACTTAGAACAACTAATTAAGTATTTCCAATCTCTCTCTCTCTCTCTCTCTCTCTCTCTCTCTCTCTCTCTCTCTCTCTCTCTTTTTTTTTAAATTCTGGAAACTAACTTTACATTTTGTATTATTACCTGTGGTAATATATTTTTTTAACTATTCTATCATATAATAACTAGTGAGAATCTTTTGCGATGCACGGGAATTTCGTTAAGAAAAAAATATTTTTGAAAAATTTTATTTAACAATGTATTAGCATGTTGATCTGTTTATATTAATATAATGAATATTTTAACATATATATATATTTATTTATTTTTTATACAAAAAATAAATAATTTTACATATTTTGGTTCATCATAATACTCAAATATTATTTTATTTAAAAAGGTATTGTCGTACAATGTCAATATTATTTATAACATTTATAGAAGTAATATTTCTTTTTTAAATAATGATAAATATTAATATATATTAATATTATTTATTGATGTGAGTTTTAAAAATATATAAGTAAATCTAATGTTTGTTAGGAATGTGATAGATTTCGATATTTTAGATACAAATGTATGATATGTATGTACAAATATATGATATGAATATCCTGAGATACAAAACAAAAACAAAAAAATTATGTGATTTATTACCTAAATTGTATCTTAAAAACATACCATAAAATGTTTAAATAGTTTCTAGAATTAGTAAACAACATTTTTTTGGCGGGAAATAGTTATTATTTTAAATATAATCAAACCTTTTTTATATGTATAGATTACTATTAATATCTTCCCTATATATAATTCCCGAATGCGCTAAGTCTACGTGGCTGCTTCTGGTGCTTCGGAATCCTACTTGGCCAAAAATCATGCTTCGTAATTAGGTTTTGACAAATAATATTGATATATTAATAATTAATAATCTAGGTTTGGACATTCCATAAATATTATTTAGCTAACTTAGGTATTTTAATATCACTTGTACTAATAGAACCCTTTAATTCCTTGTAATTTTACATAGTGAGACACTAAGTGACTAATATATCCCTGACTTTTGATTTGTTTCCTTCAATTAGCTATTGAATTGTAAATGTATTTTAAAAGTTGATAACTTTTGTATTTCTTATCGATTTTACATATATAATTTATCAAATTAATCATCTTTTGATGATCTTCGATTTGACATCCATATTGTATATATTGAAATAAATAAATTATATTTATATTTATAATAATAAAAAATAATTATATTTATTAAAAATTCATTAGAAAAATAAAATTATACTAAATATATAATTATATATATTTTTGATAATCAGTTGTTGTGAATACTGAACGTACTTGCTTGGGTATTAAATTTTCAACTACCTTTTCTCATTAATTTTAAACTTTAAGAAAAAAAAAAATTAGCAATCACCCGTGTAATACACGGGTGTTATACTAGTTAATTAATAATACATTACATTAAAATACTTGTGGCATATTTACAAATTCTACTACACTTTTTGTTGAAACTATTTATTTAAGAAATTTAATATTTACTTAATTAATCACGATCCATTAAACTTGTAAAAAATTAACTATTCACTACATTTTATATAATTTATGTATTGATTTATATATAAGTAAAATAAGTTATAATTTATATATAAAAAATATATATCTACTTGATTAAAATAACCAAAAAAGCTCAATAAAAATAAAAGCTAAAACCCTACAAAAAAAAAAAAACAAGATATTAACAATTTGATTTATTTTCATCAAAACCTATAAGAAACAGGAATCCCCGTCACGACATTACCACTACCACCACCACCGCCACAAATCCCGCCGTCCTCCGCCTTAACCACACCAACCGGCCGCCGCCCAACCAAACCACCACCACCTCCCGACCGCCTGTTCACCTTCACCGACACATTAATGATCCCGTTCTTCCCCCCTCGACCGTCCCTCAGCCTATAACTCAAGAAACTCAAATAATTCTCCGGCAGTTGACCGCCGGCGAAATCCTCCACCGGAATATTCGCCACCCCGATGACTCGGTTGCCTGCGTGGGCCTCCACGGTTATGAAACGAGTGTTTTCCGGCAACTCCATCGTCAGTTTCTGGTTCCAAAACGGGTAGCTTCCGCCGTCTCTATCGACACGTGTCGATCGGGATGTAAACGGGTCGGATCTCACGACGACAAACGCATCTTTTTTCACGGGTCGGTCACGGCCCTTTTGCAAGCCCTCGGCGGATATAACCGTGACCTCGATCGACATCGAGCAGGCCTTTTTTCCCAGCATTTGGTTAATTGATTGATTGATATAATTTATTTTACGTGAAAGATTTTTGTTAGGGTCAGTTGAATTTATAAGAATGTTTTTTATGTTATGATTGTATTACGTATAGGAATAGGAGTTATTTTATTTTGGATTTGAATTTGAATTTATGTTATGATTGTATTACGTATAGGAATAGGAGTTATTTTATTTTGGATTTGAATTTGAATTTGAATATTTTATTTTATTTTTAGGAAGGTGAGAAGAAAGGTGGGAGAAATAGGGTGGGTTTTTCTGTGAATTATTAATTATTAGAAAATAAATTAGGTTGTGTAAGTTAAGATGAAATTTCTGTTTGGGTATTCAACTTTGGCGAGTAGTAAATTTAATTTTGGCAAAACCGAATTATAGAATAGGAGTCTGATGAATGATGTGGCAATACTAAATCCTCCCTGTATATAATTCCCGAATGCGCTGAGCCTACGTGGCTGCTTCTGGTGCTTGGAACCTTATTTGGCAAAGAATCATGCATGCTTCGTAATTAGGTTTGAATGAATAATATTGATATATTAATAATTAATCATCTAGGTTAGGGTATTTCATAAATATTATTTAGCTAACTTAGGTATTTTAATATCACTTTTACTAATATAACCCTTTAATTTTTTGTAATTTTACCTAGTGAGTGACTAATATATTCCTGAATTTTGATTTGTTTCATTCAATAAGCTATTGATTATAAATGTATTTTAAAAGTAACTTTTGTATTTTTTATCGGTTTTCCATATATAATATATCAAATTAATCATCTTTTGATGATCTTCGATTTGACATTCATATTGTATATATAAAATAAATAAATAAATTATATTTATCTTTATAATAATAAAAAATAATAATATTTATTAATATTCATTAGAAAAATAAAATTATTTCTCAATTGATATATTTATATGTAATGTAGTTATATATTGTAAGTTAAAAAAATTAGCATAATATAACACAAGTAAGTCGCACAAATAAGAAATGTCATAATAAATATATAATAATATATATATTCTTATGAAAGGTATTTAAATTTTAAAACTACTTTTTTCTTATTAATTTTAGATTTTAAGAAAAAAATTAGCAAGCACCCGTGTAATACACGGGTGTTGTGCTAGTTGATAAATTAAAAACGTATTTAATGAAAAAAAAAAGAATAATTACCCTAAAGGTTGTTTACAAATATATTATAAATGTATTTATATAAAAACTATTATGAATAATATATATTTCTATAATTTTTTCATATAGGTTTGAACTATTTATGTTAATAACATCAAAGTAGTTTTGTAAAATGATTTAAAACGTCGAAAAGATGTATTCGAAGATTTATTCGAAGGGATAAATTATTGACCTGATCATAAAAATCATGATATTCATTAATTGCATATTTATAATTAATAACTAAATATTAAATAATAAAATTATTTATTTATATTACATACCTTGCACCCCAATCAATTGGGGTATTCAAGAGATAAAAACTGTGATATTGTTGGATGCACATTTAACTTCACAAAACTAAAAAAGCCCAAAGAAGTATGAACACATAACAACAATCCATCCTGGATACTGTATTTACATGTTCAAATATATAATACCAGCAGGTGAACCTCTCTTGCCAAACAATACAACATAAGAACAGTATAAAACAAATTAAATAAGTAAACATATTCAGAAAACCCAAAAAAAAAAAAAAAAGGAAATTCACAAACATGAAAAACAGTCTTACTTATCAACCATCACCCTACCAAACAATCCTCCAACCCAATCAACATTTAAAAAAAAAACATAAAAATAAAAATAAAAATAAAAAATAAAAAATAATTACATAAAATCCTCAGAAGGCCCATTTCCTAGAAGGGTGAGACTGTCCTTTCAACGGCTCGGCCGGCAGGCCCACCTCCTCACGCTGCTCGTCATCCGGCAGCTTCGTCAGGAAAGCAGTCCCTACGAAGTGCACCAATGCAGACACGTCCTCGAGGTTCCTCTTCAAGCTAAGGGAAGTCGACATGAATATCTTGGAGGGGGTTTTCGTCATTTTCCTTACCTCGGCTCCTCCGTTCTTGCTCAGCTGCGCGTGTTTTAGGAACCTCTCGGTGGCCGCCTCCCACGAGAGCTCGTGCCTCTGCTCGTCCGTGAGTGGGTCCGGCTCGTCTTCTAGTGCCTTGCGCGTTTCCCTGACGAAGCCTCCTGGGTCGTCGTACGTTCGGCAGTTGGGGAACTGCTTGAAGAACTCGTTAGAGGGGTGGTTTGCACAAATGACAATTTTGCCCATGGCCAGTGCCTCGGCTGTGGTTGTGCAAACCACATCTGTTGTGCTCGGGTTCAAGAACACTTTATACCTGAATTCCCAACAATAGTAATGTTCTCACGAATGTGATGGGGAACTTCTGTTTACTTTTGCATACTTTTGTTTTAGTCGAACTTCAAAAAAGACGATAACTTTTTACTTTTTTCATATCATATCTGAGTTAACGAGTATATACTTACTCGTGAAACAAAGGATCAGCATGATCACGTCCCGGGTGGACATTGACCATTATCTCCAGCTTTTTCGCAGCTGCCTCAACTTGGTCAGAGTCCTCACCAGTGCCATATAAGTCGACTTCAAGCCCGGTTAGTTCCTTCTGGTTATCACGCAGTAGTTTAAGCAGTTCCTTGTATCCTTTGCTCCAAACCATCTTCCCAATATAGTATGCACCTTCTGTAAACGCCCGGTCTCCATTTTGCTGCTGCTCTCGTTTTTTCAAGCCGATATCGAGAAATCTCGGATTTACTCCATGGACATTGCAGATGACTGATCTAGGGAGCTCTTGAGTTGCGGCCGATAATCTTATTACCTAACCATTATAAACTGGACATGTTAGAAGCTAGCGTTAAATACAATTATCTCAAGAGTAATGCTATAAGTACATTATATTGTAAATATTGTACATATGGGTGTACATAACACTCACATTGAGTAGGACCCACCAAAAATAAAAAAAAATCAAATGGACCCCACTCCATGTGAGTGTTATGTACACCTTTATGTACATTTATTATGTACTTGTAGCATTTTCCTTATCTCAAATATGCATACTTAAACATGACATTCAAAGTCAGGGCATTATTTTCTGGTAATAGGAAAAATGTGAAATGGAAGTTGCAAGAGAGGCATATTATACCCTGTGAC